TTTCCTGGAGTAAGGCTGGTGTTGCAATATTTAGGCCTAAGGAGACAGAAAGATAAAGATGAGTGGATCTATCTAGTAACCAGGACATTGGGGTTATTCAGCTATCTGGGGGTTTCTTAAATATGCCCAACTCTGAAGTGTTAAATTAATTAAACAAGAGGCCATTAGACAGAGGTGTTTCTAATGCTTTAGAAGCCTACATGAGCAAACTAAAACCTAGGCCTGTAAATGCCTCAAGGCTACAAGATCAAATGCTAAGGACAACCAACTATAAACAGCCAACTATAGCCAATCAAATAATTTTCTTCTTTGGTCTTTCCCTGGATTCCGATAGGCAGAATACTCCTAACCACTTTGCATTTGGTGCTGCCTGATTGAATGGATTTTTGCTCAAATAAAATCTTAAATTTTTTAATATGCTAGTTTATCTTTGAGTAGAACCCAAAGACCACCTCTTCAGGTCTCTGAATGAAAGAGCTTGGCAGGCATTTCCAATCTGAGGTTCAGGCAAGGTAGGTGAGTTTGTTACAGAAATGTGTTTATGAAATCACTAACAAAGGAGCTGGGGAATCCTTTTCAAGCCCTCCTCTCAGGCTAATTCTGGCAAGCTAATAATTTAAATTTGGTGATGATTTCTTCCAAGAGTAAATTTTTGGAAGTTACAACCCAAATTTGATTCTATCTATATTTTGACATTGACTACATGTATTCCTTTTTCTTTGCTGGCCACTCAGCTAAGATCTTCAAGTTATCATGACAGCTATACAATAATTCCTTTAAAAACAAGCCAATGCATTTTTCATTATGTTCACTAAAAATGTCTAGGCCTAGCATAGTGTTAAAATATTTGTAGCTCAAATCACTTAGTCAGTATGTAAGGTTTGTTGATGATGAGGTTAAAAAAAGGCTTTCCTTTTTGTTTTTCTTCTTCCCCTCCAGGAACACACCTTTTGTGTGCTTTGCCTAACAAAGGAATGTCCCAATTTAATCAAGGAATTTGGAGGGAAATAATGGTGAGCAGACTGATATCTGTAGGCTCCTGCAAAACAAGGTTTCAAACCACAAAAGGATTAAAAAAAAAAAAAGCTGCAATTTTGCAATACACTGATTGGAGGAGAAAAGGAAGACGTTGAGGGTTAGCAATAAAAACAGCAACAATAAAATTCCAAAGGATTTGGAATTCCTTCAGTTACTATTTGGCAGAAGAATAATATGATGTCTTTGTTCTGACCTTTCTTATCTACAGCTCTCAAATAGTTTATTTCATTCTTTCAATTGCTGCTTCTATTGTTGCCCAAAGCAGAGTGGTGCCTAGGTGTCTGATTAATGTGGAATAACAGAATGAGTCTTAGCATATTGATTTATAGGGAAGCTGGGTTGTGTTTTTAAAAAACAAGAAACACCAAAAACTTTTTTTTTTTGGCAGGTGTAAAAATTTCATAGCATGGTCTAAAATGGGTGTCTCACTTTTTTACCTTTTGTTCTACCAGGCAAAGGGGGTTTCTTCAGAATCCTTTTTGTAAAAATGGAACGGAGATATGCTGCAGGCAATATTATCCTTTACCTTTGGCTGGTTGTGAATTTTAAAAACAGATGCAATGTTATCTGTCACAATTTGTGCAAAGATGGATTGTGCTTTTAAACCAATTTCTTCAGCTTGACCAAAAATCTGGGCTTTGCATAGATCCCAGCTCAAAAATTATTTGCATTATGAAGTCAGGAGGTGATTCTGCAACCTACTACTTTTTATCAGCAATTCAAACACTAGTTTTTAGTACAATTCCTGTAACAGTTCAAACACTGCTATGCTGTGCTTTCAACTCTAAGCGAAGGGGGTGGGGGAGAGGCAAGAGGATTGTAAGTAAACAGATTCCAAATCATGGAAACCTAGGATTTACTGTGGTATGTCTGTTATGAAATTTCATATGTTGTAATATGTGTACGTGTAGCCTATCAAGATAGCAGATTTGCTGGTCTTTGTATCCTTTTCAGCGTGTGATGATTTCACCTGCATATTAACAAAGGCCCACCTTTGGGAGAATGAAAAAAGGCCTCCTTTCAAATGTAATCAAGCCCAGGTAAAGATGAAACTCAACCCACAGAATACTGGCACCGTTTTCAGGCTAAAAGAAGATGAGAGTTTCAGTTTCATCATCTTGTAACACTGATAAATGTGATGGTGTTGCTGGCAAAATTGGCAGATTAGCACAGGTCTTCCTAAACACGTGTAAATACGTGTCCCAGTTTAAGTGGAACTCCTAACAATCTGCTGTTTGAAATTAAAGAGCACCAGCTCCTCTCGGAGACAATCATCCAGTTCATTTACATGAAAAACCTTAAGTGGCAAAAATGCTACTTCCAATTTGCATCTTACAGTGTCCCCATAATAGAGAACAATGGCTTCTCCATGGAAGTTAATGCAAAGGAGAGGCATACTGCGATTAAAAAAAAAAAAAAAGGACAAACTTTCAGTACACTTTATAAATATTAACCACCTCCTCTAATTTAAAATTAAAACCTTGAGAAATGCTTCCCAAACTGGGAGTCTTCCCTGCTTCTCGAGCAAAACTAGAATCTTCAGAGTCCAGGGGCATGGGAAGGAACCTTTAAAGAGATGATGCTGACATTTTTTTTTTCAGATCCTTCCATTTTGTCCTATTTCCAGGATAAGCACAATTAGCTTGACATGGGGGTTTCTCTCGCGTGTTGAAAAATCCTTTCAACTGCGTGCACGTCTGTGAAGCCTATAGGACCCGGGACACAGGGCTGGATAAAGAGCATTACCTGACCGGGTGTAACACTGTCTCCCTCTCTCATGTGTTAACGATTACCCACCTTTGTGGGCTAGGGGCTTACATGTGTATCTCTTTGTGTTCTGCAGTCTGTGGGCACAGCCTGCTCTAGGTACAATATATGCTTGCTACATTTGCACACCACCTCTCCCTTCTTGAATTTAAAGACCCAGCTATTACATCTTGTTTACTCAATATCATTCCCCCATTTAAAAAAAAAAAAACCCTACATGAACTGAACATGCCATGTTTCAATCTGGCCCCAGTGGCTTTTTCTCTGAAAGCAAAACGTGTGTCTTTTACACCAGGGCTTTCTCCCCACCCCAGGGGGGTGTCTTCCATTCTTTTGTGGCTCAGTTTAAGGCGAAAAGGGCTCCAAACCACTAACTAAACAGAAGAGAGTCCCTTCTCCCACCTCCAGGGAGAATTTCAGATTTAATTTCTCGGAAGATAGCGTGCTCTCTTCTGACTTATTTGCCACCATTACGAGGAGAACAAAACACCACCTTGGCTTCAAGATCCTGGGTAGAGGCTCACGGTCTTTTGCAACCATCTTTGGCGAGGCCTTGCTACCTTCCACTCGAGTAAGTCGCGGCTTGGGGCCATGGAATGGACCGGGTGAGCGCCTGAAAGGTCGTTGGAAAAGAAAGCCGCTCCCCGCAGCCCCTCACCACCACCACCACCTCCACCACCCGCTCTCGGGGCGAAGTTGCCAGCCAGCAGCCCCCGCGGGGCGAGACTTGGCAGGTCGGCGGGGCTGCGCTTCCCTCCGCCGTCTCGGCTCCGGCCCGGCGTCCGCGCCCGCCCGCCCGCCGGCTGCGGGGCTTCGCGCTCCCGTCTCCTTTCTCCCCAATCCTCCC